CCCACGAGGTCCCCGGCACCCCTTTGGCACCATGTAGGAGCCGCGGTGGCCGCGCTCCGGGGGGAGCGAGGATGGGTGCAGAGCCCCCGCCCCCGCCACGGGACGTGGAGGCTTTGAGTCAGCCCTGGGCATTTGTAAATTAAAGGCTTATTATTAGCAGTACTTGAGATGTACATGTTCCGTCTCCCCCGGGATGTTCATTTCGTGCCGATTATCATATTTTTTAAAATGTAATGAATTTATGGAGATAATTCAATCCCACTGACTAGGAGGGTGTCTTACTTCTGCCACAAGTAAAGCTGCTGCGTGTGTGAAAATGGAAATTGCTGCGGCACTTTCCATGTCTTTTGCCTGTCTTCCCCTACCAAAGGATCCCAAAATGCTTTGCAGACCCTATCTGCGGGTGAGATCGACCAGAATCACAGCACTTCACAGGAACACAGCCACCTCTGGGCTGGAACACAGAAACTCTTTAACTAGAAGCAGAAATGTAATCAGATTAATTAAGTAAGTACAATTCCAAGGCAAGAAAGTCAATTAAATGAATCATACGTCAATATGTAAATAAAAGGAGCTGGCTTTGAAGCAGGATTAGAGATAGGAGTGACAATCAAGAGCGCTGCTTCTTGCAGAGCTTGTTCAAACGCCTTCCAAGAGCCACTTCTCAGGGCCAGCTCCAGCACCGCATGAGGCTGCCCGCCACCAGGATGGGGATGGGATGGGATGGGATGGGATGGGGATGGGGATAGGGACGGGGATGGGATGGGATGGGGATGGGATGGGATGGGATGGGATGGGATGGGATGGGATGGGGATGGGGATGGGGATGGGGATGGGGATGGGGATGGGGATGGGATGGGATGGGATGGGGATGGGGATGGGGATGGGGATGGGGATGGGGATCGGGGACGGGGATGGCTCTACGTGAGCACCACACACCAAAAGTGCTCCAGCTCCTCCAAGACATCTGCAGAGCCAAGCGTGTCTGGAGGCACACAAGAATTAATGTGCTCCCTCTGCGTGCTTCTGCCCACACACTGGCAGCACCAAAAGCTTCCCATGCCCATGCCCATGAGCGTGTGTTACCGTGCACATTAGTTTTCCCAGCCAAACCCGATGCTGAGTGATTTGCCCCCACGGTGCCTAGCTGCTCTCCACTCAGCGCTCCAGATACCCTCTGCTTTTCCAGCACGTTTTCTCTCCTTTCCCTCCTTCCTTTCTCCCTGCCAGTGAAGACTCCCTGCCACGGATGTCTTCCTGCACCCATAAATCTTTTGCATGGGCTGAAATAGTGTCATTGAAAAAAGATCTTTTTTGTGCAAATTTCAATAAATGCCACTGGAACAACACAGTAAATGATCCTGAAAATACAAGAGCAAAAAGGAGAGAAAGAAATGGCAGCCGAGGGGGAAAGAGAGTGAAACGCCTGGATTTAAGGCTGCCAAACAATGCATTTAAATAATTCAATTTGCAAAAGCAGAGAAGAAAGAGAAGAGAAAAGAGAAGAGGAGAAAAAGCTCAGCTTGTGTAGCAACCCAATAAATAAACTCAGAGAGCACGAGGCTGGGAATGCAGGACTGGGGTAGGCTGCCTCTTTAGAGGGTTTTCATTACAATGCTGGCAAAAATAAGAAATATTTTGGTAGATTAAGGCTGTAATTTCACTTTTGGTTCCTGAAGTGCCCCGCCTGTAACAACTGGGGTTTTGTAGGTGCAGGGACATGCAGAGAGCTGCAGCCCCAGTGGGTTTGAAGCAGGACACCTGAGGGGTGCAGGGATCCCACCGCCCCTCTGACCACACCAGGGCTTGTGCTTCCTCTGGGGCTGATCATCTTTTTGTGCTTTTGCCTGTTATTGCCCCTTAATTGCCACGGCTGGGGTTAACGAGCTAACTTTGATTTGCATATGTCTCTGGGAGAGCCTGTTCATCCTGCCAATTCCTGGCTATAAATCCCTATTCATGTTGACGTTGTTGGGAAAATGAATCAAAATAATGACCACTCATTGCCTTTTACCAGCGCGGCCCCAGCCAGGTACTTTGCAAAGAAATCCAACTCTGAAGTGGAAAACCAAGCAGGAGCATCACAAAGTTTGTCAGCGATTCCTGCAGCAAGTAACCCCTGCAGCCGCCCTGGTGAGGTTCACTGAGCATCACCCCCGGGGAGAGCCGGACAGCACAGCACGAGCCGGGCACCCCTGTGTGATCCCTCCTGATGACTGCTCAGGTCTCTCTGCTCCACGCTAGGTCGGGGAATCCGTGTCTTTTTCTTAAAACCAGGGCCGAGCAGGCCAGGAGCAGGGGCACACCAAGGGACGGGCAGCGACCAGCCCCCGGCACCTCCGCTTGGCACATCTCTGTGCCTGGTGCCAGGGGTGGCTGTGCCCAGCCTCCTGCCGAGCACTCCCTGAAGAGACCAAAAGGCTTTTAAACTTAGAAAAGCCACATTTTATGTGAATAAAGACGAGAGGCCTCCCTTTTCAAAGAGAGAGAACTCAAAGCAACTAGGGAACAGAAGAGAAATAAAAAGCTCTTTCCCTGCCCGCCGCACCCGCGAGGGCAGAGCCCTGCTTGCACACTTGGATTCAATTAGCTCGGGGACTTGCAGAGCTTCAGCAAACTCTGCTGAAGCCCCTCTGGCTGCCAGGATGTCCCCTCTGCCTGCGGAGGTTCCCAGTCCCCGTGCTGGCTGTGCTGCAGTGAGTGCACCCCATGCATGGGCACCCTGCGCCCACACCCCGCTGTCCGCCCTTGCAGCACCTCACATCTCTCCCAGGCTCCTCACAAGCACGTAAAATTGAACATCTCAGCCCAACAGCATGTTGGCAGCTATCCCAGGGCCTTACCAGGAGGATGGTGGTGAAAAGCAGGTGGGATTACCTGCACAGGGTGGGCTGGGGCATCCTGCCCACCCTCAGGGAAGGACATGCATGTGCAAGGCATTTGGTGGTGGCACGGCACAGGGAGCAGCTCCCACCTCTTCTCATGCTGCCTGGCTGTTGTTAGCACTGATGCTCCCACCCTCCAGCACAGGAGCTGCTGTTGTGCCCAGAAATGTTCCCCATGCCCCTGCAAAACCCTGGCATTTGGGAGCAACCCCAGCCCACAGAGGTGCTGCGACACCCAGACGTGGCCACTGCCAGCACTCCGACCCCCAGAGCTGCAGCCCCGCACACGCTGCTGCCTCGAGCACCCCGCGCCCCTTGCAGAGGTAGCTCTGGGTCATGTATTTGAGATATATTAACCTGTGAGGGAATGTTTAATTATCTGTTTAATGACGCTTAAAACATGTTGGAAATACTGTTCTGCAGAGGAGAAAAGTGCACGGCATCCTCCGCTCCCAGAGGCCGTTCATTACCCCGGACGGTTTTGTGTTAGTCACAGAGTTTAGGTTCTCATTTTATTCCCGTTCACACCCTGCTGCCTCGCTGGTCCCTGAGCTGCAGAACAAGGCCCGTACACAGGGGCAGAAGAAATACCAGCAGCAGATGGGTCTCAGCAGCAAGGATTCAGCACCGGGGGAACCCGGCACCTGCGTGGGGCTGTGCGGGTGGGGATGTCCCAGGGATGCTCTGCGCTATGGACCAGACCTCATCTCAGCCTGGAGACAACTGGCACCAGGGTCTTGTCCTGGGTGCCAGTAGGGGACATCCACAAAGCCCAGGATGAACCCCCCAGGAAGCCACTCACCTCGCCTGGAGCACAGTGCCCACGGCAAGGATCGGGCGCTGAGCTCCAGCAGGGGAAGGCGATGGCTGCTGTGCTCGGTGACCTGGCAAGGGCTGAGGCAGGAGCACCGCGGGGACCTCGGCTCTCTCCTGACAGCTTTTACAGACCCTACATTTCGCCGGCTTGAAAGTGCTGACACTCGTGCTCCCACTTAATTCCACCAGTGCAGCCCATTTCAGGGCTATGAGCCTTGGAGAAAGCCAGCCTGGTTCGCTCAGAGTGGAGACGTAAATCCTCACCCGACCCCTGGCAGCAAACACCACCACCTCCATGCCATGCTTTTCGGCTAAAAGCCTCCTCTTGCAGCGAGGAGAGGAAGCACCGTCCTGCTGGAGCCAGCCACAACCCCCCAGGAGTCCGGGGGAGGTTGTGCCAGTGGGGCTGGCACCGAGAGGACCTGCTGTTGGTGACCCCAGACCTGTCCCCATGCAGGAACCTCTGTGAGTGTAGGCTTTGAAACCGACATTTGGGACAGCATCTGCTCAGGAAAAGTTTGCTGTGCAGCCTGCTTGCAGCAAAGTCTCTTCCTCAGCAGATGCAGGGCTCGGGTGCCTCTTTCAAAGGGTTCCGGAGAGCTGGCCTATTTCTGGAAAGGACAAAGTGCCATTTCCTGATTTATTTGCAGTTTAAGTGGGTCTGCAAAGTCCCATTTCGAGGTTGAGGAGGAGGGCAGAGGGATTAGCCCACAAACAGCTGTGGTGCCTTGAGTCCTAAAATACTCTCTGAAAGAGGATCCTGGCCCTGTAGCTGAGCTCGGCGAAGAGCTTTCAATTTATTGTTCTTTTTAAAGCACCTGTGCTGCAGGATGTCATTTGTCTCTGTGGAGGAGACAGAGCGCTCGGATTTAGGTCCCCGCGGACAGGCAGCCAAAGGACCCTGCACATCTCACGATCCCAGCTGGGTGTCCCAGCATCGCTCCTGAGTGACACAGGGGAAAAAGAGATGAATCCCATAAATCCCACAGTCATCTTTTTAAAGCCCTTCCACAGCATCAGGCCTGGTTTCATCTCCATCTCATTGCCCTACAAGCAGCAGCATCAACGTGTGGCATCACATCAGCCACTGCCAGAGGGGCAATGCTGTTTTGGGTGTGTTTTGGTGGTGCCAGGACGCACCAGCACTCCCGTCCCAGTAAAAGGCAAACATTTCCATTATAAAAAGCATTTCCACTGCACTTAAGCAGATGTTTTGGGAAAAGCAAATAGGGTTGAAGCAGCAAGCGGTGCACCTCGCAGCCACGAGCAGCTGTTTACCTTCAGCAGCACAGGCTTGAGTTAGATGTCAGTAAATATTTATTTGGGGTATTTTGGTCCCAGATGTCCATTCAGGCCTTTTCTTCCGTCCGTATTTTCTCATGGGATCGTCAAGCTCTGGAGCAAGTCCCTGAGGGCAGAGGTATGGAAGGGATGTGTGAACTCTCTGGGTCCTGCTCGAGTCCCACGCTCATCAGTGACGCAAGTGTCCATAAAGGCACCCAGAGGGGTCTTGCAAATCAGCTTTGCATGAAGAAGGAAAAAAACATCACAGTGCCTCCCATGCAATTCACTTCCCTCATCCTCTGGAGACTCTCTTTTCCTCCAAGAACCTCTGCAGATCATATTTGGGGAATGATTGCTGCTCTTTCAGTGGCAGCACTAATAGGGCTCCTCACGGGGCCAGGGCGCGCTGCAGCCCAGCTCTCCAGAGAGCAGCTCTAGGATATCAAAGCCCTGATGCTGCTGCCCGTGCCTGTGGCCCTGCAGTGCTGACTGGGGGGGTGAGGCAGGGCAGGAGAAGGCAGGAACAGGCAGGAGCAGGCAGGGGCTTCATGCCAGGGCTGTGTGGCCAGCTGGCCAGGTCGTGCTGGCCCGGGTCCGCCGCAGCATCTGGCCTGCCGTTGGCAGACACAAGGCTCAGCAACTTTCTGTGAGCTGAGGAAAGAATAACGACGGAGTAAAAAATAGTCCTGGTCCCTCGTGAGCCGCGCTCATTAGAAGAGAGCAGCATGCTTTATGGCTCTCGCGTTATCCTCCCGCTGCTTTCCCCAGAACGGGCTCCTCCAGACGATGCGAGCGGCTCCGCCAGCGCGCTCTGCTCCATCTCCCGCGCGCCGTGAGCAGGGGCCATCACTCAGCCTCTGTCGGCGGCTCCATCAGGCCCACTCCGGGACCACCCCAGCTGCGGGTCTCCCCCACCCTCCTCTCCTCCCCTCTCCTCTCCTCTCCACGGCACCCCGCTCCCCGTGGCTGTGAGCTCACCGGCTGGAAATCCACGGGGCGTCAGCTCGCGCCTGGGGCACGGCACTGCTGGATGAGGGGCTGCTCCACGTCCTGGTTTCATCTCCATCTCACTCCTTGTAAGCAGCAGAATCAAATTCTGGCTCTGTAGCTCAGCAGTGGGCTCTAGTCACAGGATTTAGGCCTGAGTTTCCAAATTCCACCCACTCAAGCTCAATGCTGAGCTTGACGAAGATTCCCTCATGCACCAGCTTACGCCCGCTGTCTCCTCCTCCAGCCCTCCCCAGCGCTCTCAAACAGCACATTGCAGCTTGGAGAAGGTGGAACATCAGCAGTAACACCACCACCACTTCCAAGAGGGTTTCACCTGCCTCTGCACATACCACGAAGGCAGCTGAAGGATGAGCCCCGCATCCCAGCTCCACCTCAGCATCATCTCCACGTCTCCCACCTGGAGGTGCCTGCCCTGGGATCCAGCACGGGAAGAATCTGCCTGGTCATGGGCTTCCTCCACATCCACCAGGATTTGCATTCGAGGCTAATGATGTGCCAATTGCTTTTACAACAAATCCTCCCGGAGGTCTCCCAGACGGCTAGTTGATTCTTGTGGCCTGCTCTGTATGTAAGATTATGTAGCTGCTGCTAACCCCACCATAAATATGTTTTTAATGTTTAATTTGCATCTCACTCACATTCAATAACAGCTCTGGGAAATCTAAAGTGCATCTTAAAAACTGAGCCACAATAATTATTGAATATTAGATACCATCATCGGAGTATTAAAAACATATTTCTGTACAGAACCGGCGTCTGAGCACACAGCACAGGGCTGCACCACACACAGTGCGCGCCGAGCGCCGACACAACAGCCAGCTCCTTCTGCAACATCGCTGCAACTTGTGTTTGGTTGCATTTCCCATCAGAAGGACCCCAAAGAAGTTGTCCTGGCAGCACAGGCAGGAGCCATGTGCCGTGTGTGGGCGCTTCTGGGATCAGGCTGCATTGCCGAGCCCTGGCACGGGGTCAGGGACCGCTGCGGGATGCCCCAAGGCTGCTCCCTTACAGCCAGCACCTTGGCAGCTCTGGTCTTGCAGGCCGGCATGTGGGTAGCCACAAGTTAAATCAGCGAGCCCAGCGATGGCACTCGGTGCCTAAATGGAGAAATGTGCTCTGAAGAGGCCACTTAGCTGCTCTCACGCTCTGTTTTACCTGGTTTGCCCACTCCAGCACGGCAACTGCACAAGCAAATGAGACTCGCAGCTGAGCAGAACCTTTTCAGAGCTAGCCCCAATTAGGCTTACTGGCAGGATTAGTGTACATATTTTAACAATGCAGATAATAATAAATAAAGGGAGAACATGCATTAGTTCCACCTGGGGCCCCGCAAATACCCAGAATTAGCGAGTTAATGTAAAAATAGAGCATGCGACTATTATTTCCCCATCCTCCAAATTTTCATCCTCTGATGGATGCACTCAAGGGAACAGTTTGAGAGTGTCTCTGCAAGACACTTTCTTAGTAATTTGACTGCAAGGTTTTTGCTTCTGTGCTCCCAAGAAATTGGAGGGGAATCAGCACTTCCCTTGATCATGTAAAACTTTGATATCACCAGGCAGAACTGCTTCATGCCTCCGAGACCTGTTATGTTATACAGTCACAGAGGTGAAGATCACAGACCCCGGCAAGCACAGAGGCGCCGTGATCTATCACTGGAGCTCCTTCAGATGCCATGAATCAAGTCTCCAAGGTTTTAAGAGACCAGGCACCAAGGCATTTAGCAAGCACAAAGTCTGAACGGCCACCCTAAGGCCTTTGATTGCTTCAGGGACCTGATCGTGGCCTTGCACCTGAGATGGGGTATGAGTTTGGGGAATTTATTCCATTATCCTGGCCTCCTTTCTGTTTCTATACTGGCAATTCTGTGGTTCCATGTACAGGACTGGCTTGGTGCAGGGGAGGAGGAATCCGAAAACACCAGCTCTGTTTCCCTGCTTTGCCTTTCTTGGGTTAGAATCAAATCCATTTTGCAGAGGAGGGAACTGCAAGGGAGCAGCACAAAACTCAGCTTTTCCCTGCGTCAGGAGTCTGAAAGCCCAGGTTTCTCTGGACTCCATTAAGGTTAATAAATTGGCTTTTCCCACAAAGGCAAGATTATCCTTTGGGATTTACCGCCACATGATTTTGCAGAGCTGCAGACAGGCTCAGGTAGGTGCAGGGCAAGCTCACGGAAGAGAAACGCAACCCAGGCTGTTGGGTGCAGCCACCCGGATGCTCTTGCTGCTTGGTAAATCCCTAAATCAGAAGGTAAAAGAGCAAAACGTTATTTGATTCTGCATTATTTCTTGTATGTGCTATCTCAGAATCACGCCAACAACATTTTCCAGGTCCTGTCATCCTGGAAGAAGAAAAAGCAAGGCACGACGCACGGAGGCGTTCCTGCGGCACACTGAGGCTGGTGCCAAAGACAGACCCGTGTCCTGCCAGGTGGCCAAGCCTTCATCCCCCAGCACCAGGCAGAAGCACAAGGGTGGGAGCAGGAGCAGCCCAGCACGGGGGGACAGTGCCACGGGGCACCCCGCGTCCCAAGCCTGCCGGGCAGCCGCGGAGCCAGGCTGGCAGACAGAAGGGAAGCAGCAGCTCTCGTGCTATTTCAGTCTTAAAAGAGCTGCAAAATTCATGAAAAATAGAAACGCGTGACAGCAAAAAAGCAAAACTCGTATTCCTGCAAGCTGTTTCAAGCTGACGCTTGCGGCTGGCCACGTTGCACCCCCCCGACCCCCCCACAAAGCCCCTCTCTCGGGCGCGCCGTGCAGCGTGCGCTAGCGGGGCCACGGACCCTGCGCACGGCCACGAGACCGCGCGGAGCCGAGCACCAGGCTGTCGGAGCCGGTCTGCGGAGCTGTCAGGGAATCTGAGAAAGCCGAGTGTGAAATCAGCATGTTTTGTGGGACAGTGGGCACAGACTGCCCATATGTTACCCACACACATCACCAGTCATCTGGGAAATGCGCACATCTTACAGGCTTTCATTTCTCCATTTTTCCCTGTTGGACTTGTCAGAGAAATTTCGCTGCCAGCCCATATACCTTCGCAAAAAACGCATGGCTCAATCTTTCACAGATGGACTTCCCTCACGTCTGGGCTTTGATCAAGGCAAGAAAGCAGCGGGGGGGGATTATTACCTAGAAATGTGTCTGTGGAAGCATTTGTGCGTGCAGGCGCGCTCCTGGTGCCGCTTGCGGGTTTGTTTCTCCATGCGTGTGTGCATCCACGCCGCTGTGGCTCGGAGAGGACCCAGGGGCACTGCTCACACCCCAGCATCACCCTGCCAGCCAGACGGGTGAGAGGGTCCCCTGGGGGCTTTTTCTCCTCCCCTCCCTGCCAGCAGGGTTCGCACATTGGCAGGACCAGGGCCAGGACCTTGCCGGAAGACAGACAAGTGAGAAAGCCAAGCTACTCCGCTTTGCTGCTCTTCAGGGGCAGCTGAAGTGCGCTGCCTCCTTTTTATTGTTCTCTTCTTTCCACTGGGAGGGGGGGAGGATGGAAATCTTCAGCACTGTGTTTCCACCAGGATCCTCAGAGCCCTCTTGAACACCTCCTTGGAGCCCCTCCGGCCTGCTTTGTCTGCAGGCTCTGGGTGAGAGGTGTCAGGAAAACATTTTTAACCCTGGCTGCTGGGGCTGGAGGGAAAGCCCAGTCTCCCCCCTGGCTCGGGGGGACTACACGGGAGCAGCGAGCCCAAAAATGAGGCAGCTCTGTGGGCACCTGATGGTTGGAAAGGGAGATAAAATTGAAAGGGAGCGGAGCATGGGTGGGTCTAAACCTTGGCACTGGCACGCAGATTGTTTCATTAAATCTGGGAGGAGTTGCTTTGGCTTGTCTGAGAGCAGGGCACGTCACACAAAGCAGAGAAGCCCGGGGATGCGGCAGGGAGGGCAGCTGATATTTGCGGGCGGGGGAATTAGTTCAGCGAGCACTAAAGACTCCGAAAGTTTGTTTTAACTTTCCCAGGAGGCTCGGGCTGGTTATTCATTAGCAGCGCCTTCAAACGCGGCCCCGGCCTGGCTGCTGCCAGCCGAGCGCAGGCAGCGGGTGACACGGCTGTGACCCCCGGCACGAGGGGGGCACCCAGAGCCTGCAGAGGGGGGGACAGCCCCTCGTGTCCCCTCTGGTGAATCCTGCCAGCCCCGGGAGTTGGCACCTGCTGCAGCCCAGGGCAGAGCCGGCGTGTTTGAGATGCCCCGAAAGGAAGCCTGGACGGAAACAGGAGGTTTGGATGGGGATTACATCCAAAACAACAACAGCAACAACACTGAGGGTAGGGGAGAATGAAAACAAAAGGCTCAACAGCTTAATTTGCCCTTTCTGAAAAAAGCTCAGAAGAGCTTTCAGAAAACCTGGGAGCTTTCACCCTGCAGGGCAGAGAAAAGCCTCTGACCCTCTGCCTTGCAAGATGCATTTTTCAAGCAAAATGTCAGGGCACGTCTCAGAAGGCAGAAAAACACTTTAAAGGATGAAATAATTGTAAAACACCCCCAAAGATGGAGCAAACAACAAAACGGCTGGGATATAAATGGATTTATTTTTCATTTGGCCGATGATTCCCCCAAACTCCACCACCCTTCCATGAGGACGTGGCAGCCCTGCCCAGAAGCCAGGCACAGAGTGGCCGGCACCAGGCTGCTGTCGTGCCCACCCCGTGCCCTCTCCGCACACGTAGCTGGCATGGATGCACCCGACCGGGGACGGTGGTTGGCCTTCCTGGCTGTGCTTCCATCAAACCATCCCGGCTTTCATCTTGAGCAACAGGATCCGAACCAACCCCCGGGGACGCAGGGTCTGGTCTGGAGCACTTCACAGGATGAGGGAAGCGGAGAGGGAGCGGCGGGGTTGTGTTTGGCAGGGTGGATTTGCCCGGCTTTGTGTTTCTTCTGGCACTAAATAAAAAGCAACCGAGGACTTGAATCCCATGCACAAGCAATGTGCACAATGCGCTCTGCCTCTCCCCAGGCTTTTGCCGGGGTTGCACACCCCCGGCCAGCGGCGGTGTCCAAAGCACGCGGCGGGTGCTGAGGGTCAGCGGTGGGGCTGGGGGCACCAAGGGCACCGGGGCCGGCAGCGCGGCCAGGACAGGAGGCTGCTGCCAGCGAGGGGACCTCGTGACAAAGCCCAGAGCCCGTCACTGGGCAGACTCTGGGAAAAGCAGCCGAAAGGAGAGCCCACAGAGGCTGCAGAGCCCGCTGGCCGAGCCCAGCCAAGCCATTCCATGCATGCCCAGACTGCTCGCTCCGTCCCGTCTCCGCAGGTTTTTTTGCTGCATGGCTTCAGCAGCTGCCCCTTCTCCCAGGGCCTTTCTGGCCCCTCGCAGCCAGCTAGAGCAGATCGGGCAGAAAAATCCCCTTGGCAGCGCGCACAGATCCGGCCACAGATGGCACGCGCGCACCCCCCGATGCCAGCCCGTCCCTTGAAGGTGACCACCACCCGTCATCCCACAGCCGCCGGCGCTGTCAGGTCCCCCGCGCCCGTCTCCGGCGTGACGTTCCAGCTCATTAATTTTCCCCATCAGACGTTCCTGAGGGAGCTGAGGAACTTGGGTGCGATTTTTCTTCCCGGTTTTCAGCCCCTGAGCACATGTGAGAAGAAACACGCGCAGCCCCCCCTCGCTGCTTCCCTCATCGCCCGCGTTAGGACTTGACCTCCCTGCTTTCTGCCCCGATTTTTAAATAATG